AAGTGCTTTCGGAGATGCGAGCTCCAGGCCGCAACGGCTGTTCCCGCCTAACGTTTTACCACAGCCAGTCCTTCGGGAATCTGCCGGTTTCTAGTGTGATTAAACATGAGATATAAATCGTTTTGGACGGGTAATCTTTAATCTTCTTAATGATTTGTTCTAGAGCAGTTTGTTTTGGCGGTGGGTAAGGTAACGTTAGTGCTAGCAGTGGCGGCTAGTCAGAGGAGGCAGGGGAGGCACAGCTTCTCCAAAATTTTGAGGTGAAAATGGGAGGAGGAAGATTTAATGTTAATAAAATTCACAGTTCATTTCAGTTCATGTCTCTGATAGAGAATGGGAGGGGGAGGCCGGAGGAGAGTTGAGCTCTTGTGCCTCCATTGGTAAAAAAAAAAAAAGACAGAAATGCAATGGAATGAATGTGTTTTAAACTAACAATAATAATTATTGTATGCTTGCTTTCATTTGAGGTTCCCTCTGCACATGCATGTGACTCGGACACATATGCTTTCCCTGTTGCCAAAGGAAGTTTCCAGGTTTGCGTGGTGTGAATTGAAGTCATTTTCCTGAAGTGTTTCGAGTGATTTGCACAGTAAGTATTTTTATATTATGCATCACCACATATTACAGTAAATATTCAGTTGACTTTAATGTAAGCAAGTTGCTCTGTAAGATCTGAATGCTCATATAAATGGCATAGCAACGTCTGTTAATTTGCGTCATTGTATTTTTCTTTTATGTTTTTGTCAGATTAGTAAATACTGAAGAACTATTGTTCATTCTTAGTTCATTATCTAAAGTAGTTAACTAATTATAAACTTATGAACCTTATTGTAAAGTGTTACCAATATTAATATAAATTCTGTCCATTTTTATTGTGTTACTTTCAGTAAAAGTGGTTATTTTATTAGCTTGTGTGTTTTTTTTTTTTTATTCAGTATCATTAAAATTGAGTTACTTTATATTATTTAATTAAATAATAAATAATCATTACAAAGCAGTTTCGGCCAAGTGCATCCAGAATTTTCGGTTTCCGTTTCAGCCCAGAATTTTCATTCATCTAGATGTAAGACTACATGTTTTATTTAATTTAATTTAATTTAAATTTAACAGTAATTTTCTTTCAAATGCCCCAATTGCTGAAAGGTCTTTACAACTTTTTAGTACAATTTCAGGTTGCACTGTTACATATAGTAAATGTAAACAGTATACCTGTTTACATCTAATTAAGGTGGATTAGATTAGACATTAGACTGTAATACAAATAGTTGAGTTTGCCAGGTGCATACAACATTTATGACAGGTTTTCATGAAAGTGTTGGTCAGTTTGTCTGTTTGACAATCTTATTTTGCACTGCAACAATAAAACTGAAGTGAGATAAACAAACTGAGAAATGTTTCTTTTTAGTTAAAACAGATGTTGTCAAAGTTTTCCTTTGGGACATAATTTGAAGTTGGAAAAAGGTAATAAATTGCAATATATCGCAGAATATCTCAATATATTTAAAATCGCAATAATATTGTATCGTGACACAAGTATTGTGATAATATCATATCATGAGGACTCTGGTGATTCCCACCCCTAATATATATGTATATATATATATGGGGGAAGGGGGTGTCATAGTTTTCGTCCTAATTACCCTTGATTGTATAGACTTGTCAAAGTGTTATGAATCTAAACAATGTCTAATAACAGTTTATTTTTATTTAAATATAGAACAGTCAAAGAGATGACTTCTTGAAAGACCTGGAAAACATCACCATGGGCATATGTGTCATTAAAGAGGTGTTCTTGGAGACTACGATGATATTGGAATCATTGTTGATGGAGTAATGATTCTTGAGCAGATCAGATCTGTGGCACAAGCCTGTGCTTTGATGCTGGGTACAATCTATGTGCTTAATTTGGCATACCCAAAAGACCTCAAATTCTACTATGAATTTGTTCAGAAATTCCTTATGCAGATGGATTCTGAAAGGCTCTCCCCCAAAATTCTAGGACTGAAGAACAGTTTACTGCTGTAATTTTGCAGCAGGCATGTATGTGCAGGCTCAGCATGAAATGTTAGTCCAGATGTCACAGCCTACATTGCACTATTTTCCATTTAAGACCTGTATATCAGTAGTTCAAAAAATGTGTAATTCCCTTACAAATGGCAATTTGTTGCATGACATGTGAACACTTTGTTGTGCAGTTTTAGCACTATTTTTTTAATCACTATTGTTATGATTCACAACTGTACTGTTGCCAGTTCTACATGATATTTTTATTAATTGTGCAATGTTAAGTCAAAAAATAATATATTTAAGGATTAAACTGAATTAGTAGTTATTTTTTATTACTAAAACCCAAAATCGTTATCTCTTGAATATGTTGTTACTTTATTTTATGTGCAAAATGTTTCATCTATAAGCAAAACTGGCTTAAATCTCCTGTTTTCCTTTTTTTCTTGTTGAATTTCTCTCGTTTCATCCCTCCGGCTTATAAACAACAACAACAACAAATGCAATATTTTGATGCACTGATTATATGAATATTATGATTATTCAAAGATATTTAACCTTGTCATTGTGCCTTTTTTTCTGTGCATATAATGTATGCAAACCCATTATATTTATGTTTTTTTTTTGCTTTTTGTCATTATGATCGTTCATTGTTAAAAATACAATCATCTTTCCCTGAGCTTGTATGTAATTATAAGTTCTACAGTATTAATAAAACATAAGAACATAAGAGGGACAGGTGCACTAACACCTCATAGCATCAGTAACTCCACAACCCTAACTAGTACAGTTTTCCTCAGCATTTGCAATATTTTTAATATCTGCACAAAGGAGACGTCGATCAGCTGCGAGAAGATCTCTCCTTTGGAGAAAACTGTTAATTTTACACTCGCAAAATGTATTACTACTTAAAAATGAAGATTACCGCAGAATGCATTGCTAGCCCACCCCAACACTTTATTATGAACAATATAATGATAAATGCTGGCCAATAATTATCAAAATGTAATTTGTTTTGTCATATGCCATAGCTATGCATGACTACACATGTGTAGTGTAGTGGACTAGACAAACGCAGCCAAGGTGAATACATCTCAATTTTCAGTCAAGTAATGAATTAATGCACATGAAACAATTATATTTTATTTACTGAAAACAGGAAACATGAATAAATGAGTAAAAGAATAAGAATAAGAATAAAAGAAAGGATACATTCTTTATGATGTATCCTCTCGCGTGGCCTCCTAGGATAGAAAAGTATCCATCAACGAGCACTCAAGGAGCTGGGCAGAAGCAGTAGGACATCCGGGAACTTCTCGACTACTCTTTTATGAATACTGAGGTTTCGGACATACTTATTCGCTCGCCTACTGCTTTTCGCCTACTATATAGTAGAGAAGTAGGCGGTTTCGGACGCAGCCAGTGTCTTCTCCACATGATGTAAACACACTAACTAGCGGAAGTGTTTGTGGGCAGGTCAGACTCTGTTCGTATTTCATGGGCAGGCGGGGATTATGCAAATGTGTTACCCAGTGACGTATACCGATAACAGGCAAACGATTCGAAAATATGACGACTCATTAAGGCGATTCAGAATCGACTCTCTCTTTTGAGAGACAATATCTTTATTTATCATGCACTTTTTTGATTAACAACTTTGCAGATTGTTTTCATTTAAGGATAGCTACGTTATAAACTGCAAAATAGATATTTTTCAAAAACCCATATGACCTGCTCTTATAGTTAAGATAACAAGCACAAAGAGAGAAACAATGATCACGTGTTACATGTAGCTAACTCTCTAGATTCTATTGTGGAAGCAGAGAGGGCTATTTGGAGTTTTTAAATTACAGTATATTAAATGCAATTTTCTGAACTTTAGTGCACTTTTTTGAACCACTTAAATAGGATTGTTTGTAATATTGAAAAACACAGTTATTCAGTGTACTTAACAGTTTACTTACTGTATTTATTTATTTGCTTAAAAGTGTACTTAACAGAAACATAGTTATGAATGTATACTCTATTTAAGTACACTTAAGCGGCCCTTTGTTTCATTTATATAATAGCCTATTATCTGCAAGTACAGTTTTTACTTACTTTTTAACATACTTTTAAGATCTGAAGTACACTACAAGTGCACATTCATTACAATAAAGCGCACTTCTTTTTTCACAAGGATCTGTATGAGCATAGGTGAATTTGTGTCTGTATTTCAGTCAATGGCCTAGTTACAATGATACACATATATTGTGTGTTCACAGACAGCATCTGCATAACTGAAATATCATTCATCCAGCAGTTTAATCACATGGTTGTGTAATTTCTACAGCCCTTAAAGTTAACATTCTGCATTCAGTGACCTCCAAACCGGATGCTCAAGTGCTGGTCTTGTTCCACTAAAGTGGCGTATGGGATATCCTGAAGGACTCATGACCTCACACGTGTACCCAGACACACTGTCAGTAATTATTGCTCTGGTATTTTATAACAGAAAACTCAGTCTTACCATTTAGAAATGCTGGTGTTTAAGGGCTTTGGATAGCCATAGATTTGGCAGAGAGATTCAGAGGAGTAGCACTGAATTCTCTCAGCACAACCCTGTCCCTACAGACAAATAACATTGTGCAAATAGTCACTTTAAATATACAAGATAGTTGAAGATTGTTTGTGTGTATATATGTTCATGCACAAAAGTTACAATACCATATTGTAACTACAATGTATTGGGTGTTTTTTTTATCTCAGACCTTACAAAACTGGAATGATTAAATTTTTGAAAATTTTTGACAAATTTGAGAATAATTTTTTTTTTTTACTTATAACTCTCCAGGAGAAACCCTTTAATACAGTTTAATTCATACTTTGGTCCCCAAAGACAGCCTATTAAACCAGACTACGCTCTGTGTTCTCAGAGTTGCACTGTGCTATCAAATAAATGTTATTCCTTGAAAAAGACAAATGGAAACTTATTCCTCTACTCTTTGCCTTTATATATTGCTCACAATTATTATGAACAGTTATTAACCTTACTGACTAGTCAACAGACTGATCTAAATGGTAATGAGGAAATCTCAGCACCAAATGAACTGCCAGTGTATAATGATTGCAGCATCACTTAAACTGCAATTTAAGGATTGTTGCACCAACTCAAATGTTGGGACAAAAAAGTTGGTCCAATTTGGTACAATTATTTTTGGTACAATTTCCAAATGTGCATCCTTGTATGCTTTTTGGGCAAATGCTGCACATAACCCCTTTGGTTTCAGAAGGTTCTCTGATCTTTTATGTTGGTAAAATTTTCATTATTATTAATTTTTTTCTTTATAGCCTGTTTGCTGTTGCTTTCTAATTGACACCATATTGCCTTCACTAACCACTTTTCGGAGGAATGAAACAAATGAAAGCTGATGCTTCTTTAGTTCTATGAAGGGTCTGGAAATATAAGATAATCTTAATGTATGGTCTGCCCTAAAGCGGCCATAAGCCTCAACACAGAGGCCTTGTTAGAAAGCCAAGAAAAATAAAGCTCCACTGAAGGATGGCTGCTTTAACATATGCTGGCCTGGTTTTAAATCTATTGATTGCGCGCTGCTCATGAGAGAGACTCAGGTAAGTGAAAGTGAAGTGATGTGTGGCCAAGTATGGTGACCCATACTCAGAATTTGTGCTCTGCATTTAACCCATCCAAGTGCACACACACAGTAGTGAACACACACACACACCCGGAGCAGTGGGCAGCCATATTGCTGCTGTGCTCAGGGAGCAGTTGGGGGTTCTTGCTCAAGGGTCTCATCTCAGTCGTGGTATTGAGGGTGGAAGAGAGCACTGGTTATTCACTCCCCTCACTTACAATCCCTGCCGGTACTGTGACTCGAACCTGCAACCTTTGGGTTACAAGTCCGACTCTCTAACCATTATGCCACAACTGCCCCATGGTACTTCAAGTAACTTTTTCACCATCTACAGTTGATGTGTTTAGATATTTGTTAGTTAAACAATCTAATTGCTTGTTTACACTTAGTTTATTTTACATCTGCTGGGTGTCTGGTATGGTGGGTTTAACAGATTAGAATGGTCACACAAATGGCGCTTTTCCACTGTGTGGTACGACTCGGCTCGGTACGGCTCAGTACGTTACGGCATGGCTCAGTTCGGCTCGGTTTGCGTTTCCACTGCAGTTTAGTATCGCTTTAGAATGGGCGGGATTATTCACATGTCGTTATAGTTGCACCCCTTTGGGTTACAAGTCCGACTCTCTAACCATTATGCCACAACTGCCCCATGGTACTTCAGGCAACTTTTTCACCATCTACAGTTGATGTGTTTAGATATTTGTTAGTTAAACAATCTAATTGCTTGTTTACACTTAGTTTATTTTACATCCGCCTCTACTGCCGGGACTCCTAAAAAATCCGCTCCTCTGCTATCAACGAGAGGAACGTCTGTTCTTCCGCAACAGGGGGAACAGCCACTTTTTGGTTGTTAAAAAAGGTGCGCTCATTCAAAACAGTTGCGTTCGATCCTTCGCTGGCTGTGCTGATTTAAATCTAGCGGGTCTGTTTGTGTCTCATGTCGCAAATTCAGTGACGCAGGTAGTGACGATTTTCTCCGGCCAATCCGTGATCAGCAGAGTTTACACGTCCCGTTTTGGTAACGGTACGGTACGCTTGGAACCCCAACCGAGGTGGTACTAAAAAAAGTACCAGGTACCAGGTACTGTACCCAGTGGAAAACCCCCAAAAAGTGAACCGTACCGAGCCGTACCGTGCTGTACCATGCAGTGGAAAAGCGCCATAACAGGGCCAACACAGCACCATTTTGCAGGAGAAAAGTTTCCCTACTGACAACCATTCAAAAGTAGTTGCGTTTTTGCGATTAAATAGTTTAACCAGAGCTCAATTTTTGGTATTTTAAAAGCAGCTAATTTAAGAACTTTTCTTCTAAGTGAGTATTAAGTCACTGCTGATATTCAGGCTTTACTTTACAAACAGAGACCTCAAATTTGGGATTTGTTTTGATGAGTTTGATGAGACTTGTTTGATGCAGGGAGCACAAAGAAATACTTCATTAGTAACACACACTATTATATCAAATTTTGAAGGTATAATGTAGCCGCGTTTAATCGATTTACATTTTCTTGCTTTGAAAATTGAATACAGTTAGTTTCCAAATGTTTGCCTTTCTTTCTGTCCAGTTATATCTGTTTGTGTGTGTGGCAGAGGTCTGTTGGATCAGACTTAGTTCAGCCTGTCATTTATTTCTGAGTATCTCTGAAATGGTTTAAGAACAGTTGCTTCTGAGAACAGTAAATTATAATGTAAAACTTTCTGTCTGGAGTAAGAGCTTATTAAAAAATATCTATGAACAACTACAGGCTCTCACACGTATTGTTCTGGCATAGATTTCCTCTTTGCCGTTTCTATTTTTTTTCTCTGTTTTTTACTTTAATTCCATGTGTGTGGGATGGAGTGCTCCCATAGTCCCTCAAAAGCATGCTGGCTTTTCTTCAGAAACTGAAGCCAACAGGAGCTCTTGGGCTATAATCGCCCAGTCAAACAGCTGCAGATACAGCATATAACTTTTCAAAGCAAATCATTTTAGTACACAAACTCAGCAGGTTTCTGAAAGGCTGATCTTATGGGCTGTGCATCTCTGAAGTTTTATTTGGAAGCATGTGGGCTAACCTCAAGAAAATTGGGTAACAGGCACTTTTGACCCCATGAACTTTTAAAAATAAACTCCCTTAAAACACACTTTTCATATTCTCACTAGTTTATTTAATTTGTCTAATCACAATGTTCAGTTCAGGATATATATGCATCACAGCTGAGTTCTTTTTCTGAACCCACTTGTACAAATGTCATTTGGACTAACTTACAGTACATGACACGAAATGACAGTTGTGAAAATCACTTATTCAGTAGCATTTTATGTATTACAAATACAAAGTTAAATTATATTTCCACACTTTTTGCATAATTTGATCAAATAAAAGCTTTAAATGATTTAATAGTGTTCACCAGTGATATGTACCATAATTTTTCCTAGTTTTCTTCACAAATAGCAAGTCTCTTATTTCATAATAATGTTTCTTGCACTGTTTTTTTTACTTACTCTTGTTTAGATTATAATAGTTTTTAAAATGTAATAATAATCATTTTATAGTGAAAGTCAAAGGTAAATACAAGGGTACGGGTGAATACAGTTCAATACAGTCTAATGTTTATTGTGACCTTCATATAACAAAAAGACAATTGCTTGTGACTTTGCAAAGCAGGAGATGAATATTATGGAAGGCCCCCGATGTTCTTTAATTTTTCTCACTGAAGCTATTAATCAACTGTTGCTTTTCTTAAAAACTCCAAGTTGTTCACATGAGCATAAAGCAGTTGCAGAAAGAAAACACAAATAATGACAGTTTATAATTTTGTGCTGTGTGACAATCATCTGCCACATAGAATATATATATATATATATATATATATATATATATATATATATATATA